TTTTGATCTCCTGAATAACTTTCACTTAATAAGTCATGCCGATTTACTTAGTAAAATTTTTCGCAATCGAGCAAAATTCACTTTTACCCGAAAATAAGCTACCCCAATATTTTTGTATAATTTTTCTTTCAAAAATGGTAGCTTATTTTTGGGAATATACGGTAGTTGAAAACTGGTATATAGTGAAGATTTCTTATAATTATTGTTTAAGTAAAGCCAAGTTATATTCTAGTTGATTTGTGAAGATAGTGGTATGATGTAATCCATATGGTGTTATAAGAACCACATAGCAATGATATGAGCATTGTATATATTTTTAATAGATCTACATGTTGGTTGCTCAAATGCAAATTCTTCATATTGAAGATAGTATGTATTATAAATGTTGTTATGTATGAATTCAAGTATAATTAATTGGTTATAGCTTTTAGCTAGCTCGTCTGCAGTATTATTAAATATATTCGTACTGTGTACCGCAACTTTTAGAAAGTTGATAGTAAGTTTGTATGTTGTAATAAGGTTAAGAAGTGTGTGCCAAATGGGCCAGTAGTTGTAGGAATAACATTTATTAGATATAGGTGGTGAGTTTTGGAGCTTGTGATATTTTGATATAATAGATTGTAAGTCTGTGTAAATAGTTATATTGTATTGTCTAGGGCATATACTAATTGCAAAAAGAATTGCAATTAGTTCAGCTTTATATGAGGAGGGCCAGAATTTGATTTCTGCAGAAGATGTTTGTTGTATAGTGTTATCTAAAGTTTGTACCCATCCAATGCCCATAGTGTATCATTCAGTAGTAATATTATTAACTGATCTATCTGTATAAAATATGAGGTGTGTTTGGGTAACATTGTTAGCTGTGATATATTATAAAATTTGTGATGCTTAGTTGTTTTTGAAAATATTGAATATTGTATTGTTATAGATTGTAACTGTAGATAAGAGTGATAGTTGTGTAGGATGACAGAGTGCAATTAAGTATACCAAATCTAGTGGGTTGATATGTAAGTTAAGTTTTTTTGATGAGTTGTTATAGATAACTCTGGCTAGAAGTTTGGTTGATAGGTTAACAGAGATATTGAATGTATATTTGTTGTGTATGCAGTTGGAGTTTAATGAGCATCCTGTATATGGAGTGCAAATATAGTCAGGTGGTGGGTATAGAGCTAAAGACAATAATAAGAAATAATAGAAATAGTAAAAATAATAACAATAGCTAAAAATGGTTAAAATAATTAAAATAGTTACAACAGTTAAAATAATAAAAATAATAAATAAAAACAGTAAGAATAGTAAAACTTTATCTGTTTCTAATGCTACTTAATAAAATACAAAATAATATACAGTAATATAATATAATAATACTGTAATACTAATAATAAAAAAATAAAATAAGAAACTTATTTTATAATATAATACACCATTTAAACTATCAAATTTAGATAATTTTTAACCATTTTAATAAGTTTAAATTGCAGATAAATTGTATAAAATTTATCTATAGTTTAAGTTTTATTCTTATAAAAAATTTATAAATTGGTTTTAGTCAAAAAACCCTTAGTGAATTCTTAATACAAATCATTAAAAATTCTCAATACAATTATTAAAAATAAAGACAAAGTCTTATCTTAAAAAAAAAAATACTAAATGTTTTTAAAACTTCAAATTTATTTAAAGGTAATTATGTGTTAACTAATTAATTTAGCTAGCATTAAAATAATTCTGGCCCATAATCGCCATAATTTGTCCCGAAACTATAAAACAAATTTAAGGACCCAATTCTTAGAAGGTAGAGCACAAATCGGTGCAAATTTAAATGCGACATAAGAAATGATAGTGATTCAAAATAGATAGATTAGGACTTCTCTTTAATTGATCTACATTAACTACCAATTTATATAATATAATGTTCGATTACGTATATTTCGTTTATTGAACCAAATTTTCACTAAACTATGAACTGTAACATAAACGATATATAATCCGAATTAGAATAGAATAACTGAATATACATCTATTTATATCCGAATTAAAGAAATATAAAATAGAACAATATCCTGATATCAAATTAGATATTTAGATTCAAGCGTTAATATCGAGACCCCTTTTCTCTTTGTTTCCAGGCACTGCGTATTTTTGGTATATGTTCAATTAACTATTAAATTTTAGTAAAAATTTATTAGCAAATGCATTAAACTCCGACAATTTATGAACGTAGTAGATAACGAAATACCTGTTCCATACTGATTCCATCCATAATACTTTCTTGTATTTTTTCTACCACTGTATAATGATTTCCATGTGGTTTATCATCACGAAACCTTAAAAACCTCCACCGTGTGGTATTGTCTTTTAGCGTTTCACAAGTCACTTCGACTATACGATTTTCAAGTGGTTCTTCATTGCGTAGCCATCTGAGTAAGTTCCTCAATGCTGTGAGATCGTAATGCATTCAAATATTTTCAATCATATTTTTGATATACTTACTCATCCCATTCTTCATCAGTGACATACAAATCATCAAAATATGCATATTCATCTTTTTGCATCCATTTATACAGAAGGAATCTTTTTGGCCTATTTTGATATTGGTATCCGAATCTCCGACTATCTTCGAGACGTAATTGAAGATCAATAGAATTTTCATTTGGTGGTTTCCATTTTAACCTTTTTTTATTTATAATATATTATGATAAATGTGCTGATTTAACTAAATAAAATCAACAATATACATACATTTTTTCACAAGTTCCCGGTATGTAAGGTGATACTGATGATGTAAAAATTAAACCGTCACTCTTATGCTTCAGTTTTGGTATGGTTTCATTCCAAACCTTGTCTAAACCGTATGATAACTCCATAGGTTTGACTTCTACCTTTCTTTATAACATATTAATTTTATGTTCCCACTGTATATACCTAGAAAGCAAAATTCATCACAAACATTATAAAAAAATGGACAACTTACAAGCAAGATGATGAACCATTAAGTCCCGGACGACGATTTGACAAGGCTTTGTATGGTTCTATAACATATTCACGAAGGTACTATTTATTATATTATACCAGATAATGTTAACATATTTATTTAATCTACACGATTAAACTAGTAAAAGAAAACTTACGCCCAATCTACTAGTGAGTGGTTTAGACATTAAATTCTTTTTCATTACCACCAACAAATCAAAAGCAAGTAACTTTTGGGTTTGCTACAATAAAAAATAGGAAAATAAATGATACAATTGATAAATTTAAATAATAAAATTTAAAAAAACCTACCATTCCATCATCTTCAACATCAACAATTAGTTCACTATCAACTAAAGTGCCATCATGGAATTGTTTGTCATCTCCAGGAACAGGAAATAATAAATCAAAAAGTTGATGGTAGTTATTCTTGCGGTCAATCTATATTATTTAATAATTGATAAATTTTTACGCGCTCATGTTTAGACGATGAATTTCTATAATTAACCATAGACACAAACCAGATAAACACATGGCTGGCCAGTGCGACTATCAACGGTTAAATAAAGTAAAACACGTATTCCATCTGATTTTTCACAGACAAAATAACTGAATTTATATATCAAAGTCATATGAGCAGTGATAGAACAAAGATAAATGCTTGTTCAAAAATATAAATCATTACTTTTCATTCTCTAATTCACGTAAATGATTGTAAGTGAAACTGACCGGCTGGGCACCTATAAAGAAAAGAGCAATAGTCACATCACCTATCCGTAAGGAAGTTGAATCTTTCTCCAAAAATTCACTTACCAGGAAAACTGTAATTAAGAAGGAAAAAACCTTGAGTAAGTTAAATATAATAGCTCAAAACAAAAACAATAAAATAAGGTAATAGCTCAAAACAAAAAAAAACAATAAAATAAGGTAAAAGAAATATATTTATAATATCTATTAATTCACAAGAAATTATATTGAAGCTATTGTGTCTGTAAATTTGTGATCAGACGAGGCTCACCTTGATACGTTAGCCAGTTCTTTTACTTTAGCCCTTAGCTCCCTTGTACGAGAGTTATCTACTAGCTGCCCAGGAATTTCAAAGGAATTTGACATGTATATATTTCTATGTTTTATGAGTGAGAAGTAAATATTTATAAATTCAGATTCCGATTTATTTATAAATTTGTAATACCATGGTAAACTTTCACGTGATATTTAAGCTTTAGAACTTTGCATTAGCATTACTGCATTAGAGCAACTGGAACGTAAATCACGTGATTTATGTGAATAAAATTTCTTGCTTATCGATTACTTAATTAACCGTACATTATTTCAGTATTTGGTAAATATTAATTTAATTTACCAGTAGAAATAACAAAATATAAAATCAATATAATAAAACAAATCACTTGTGCTAATGAAGTCTTTGAGCTATGTATAAAATTTTCGTCACTATATCGAGTGCCTATTAGTAAAGTTTAGTAAATTCACTATATCGAGAGGGTTTTTACATAAGCTATTTATCGTCACACTTATATCGAGAGTTCACTATAACGAAGGTGACTTTTATTATTAAATCATAGAAATTATAAGTCATAAAAATAAGGGTCATGAATCTTATGTAATATATACCATCTAAAGAAAAAAAAAATAATGCTATACATATCGGCTGATTTTGATGAGGAAATCCAACCTCCCCAGTAACGCCACCTCATTAGACATATGAAATTATATATAATTGACGCACCCTAAATCAGCCGATATGATATTATAACTAAAAAAACAAAGATCAATTAAATACGTAAATAATCAAATAACTAAATTAGGAATAGGCAAGTCAAAGAATCTATATAGTGTACAGCCTGGAGCATTATGCAAGCTGACCGGAATTATGCCAGCTCCCGAATTTTAAAAATCGCACTGTACAGTCTCTCAAAAATCCATTCTAAGTCAAATAACTAGTTAAATATTATACAAAGCCTCTTTTTACACCGCAAAAGCCAATCCAAAACTAAAAATAGCCTTTCAAGATTATTTTGTTACTTCAACAAGAAAGAAGTATAATTGATTCCTTCTTCAAAACCAGCAAACCTTAAACAAGAACAATAATTTCCATATCCCCAAAGTCATTTTCCAAACATACCTTGTAGCACATTAAGATGGTCGTTTCAGATATAAGTAGACAAAGATTTCTAAAAAGTGTATTGTGTCTTTGTTAAGAAAATTTTGAAAAAAAAAATTTTAAAAAGGTTGTTCATTATCTTATATAAAAACAAAGATCTATGTATACATGTCACAAACGCGTGAATGCAGTATATTTTTGTTACACTAGACGCACAATTATAGTCACGCGTGCGAACATCAA